AACAGTAGTCCCATTTAAACAATTATTTATTATGTTTGTTGGAATAACACACACACACACACACACACACACACGTATCAGCTTTATAAGATAGGATAGATGAAGAATTCAAGGCCACATGAGTCTGAAATTACTATTATTGGAACAGTATCTTGCAAGTCTAAATATTGTCCCACTATCTCACTTTATCTTCCTGTGAATTAGAGACGAAATTGTCTGAGATGTTTTCTCAAATTAGTTTCCTGGCCTAGGCTCAGGATCCACTTGTCTAACCTTGGTAATAGTTCTTCCACCTGTCCCTATGCCCATTACATACAATCATTCCCTCTTCCTTTCCCACCTTTTTATTTTTGTGACAAACATGTGAGTTAAGCTGAAAGAGAATCAGTTGGCTGAGGGACCTGTAGAGGTGGAAGGAGATGTGAATCTAGGTCTTTTTAATCCAAGCCCAACATACCACATAAAATCCCAGGGTAGTTAGTTACACTCTTTCTGTAATACCCAGTCTGGCTGTGTTTATGGAAAGTTGTAGGAAAAGTTTGCGCCTAGATGTTGTAGTGGTATAAGAGGGTGACTTCTGAGCTAGTGTAATGTAATGCCTGTGGAACCCAAATGTGTGGCTGAACCTGTTGTGGAAGTATAACCAAGAACATGACTTAATTTAACTAAAATATAAGTATTGCATGAAACCAGGGAGTCCAGGATTACAAGTGTGCCTGCATTCAGGTTGTTGGGAGTGTCAATAGCCATATGAGGTTTGTATTCATGTTCATGGACCATTTAATGATCCAAATTCTAAATCCTCCAACTTGAATTCATTGATATTTCCTTTCCTAAGCCTACTGGATGCTACCCTTTTTGAAGAGACCATATATTACACTGGGGAAAGGTACAAAGCACCTAAGGCAACATAGGAATAGGATGGAAGTAAGAACAGTTGTCAGGATAGGCAGTTCCTGAGAAGTTTAATGACATACTTTTAGAATTCTTCTTGATTTCTTTTCCCCATTGTATTTCATTTATTGTCTGTATTTTGCATACTGTTGCTTTACCTGAATGAAACAGTATAATTATGTATGTTCCCCCTCTCTCTATATAGTGTGTGTGTGTGTGTACACACACTCAAGAGGTATGCTATAGTTGCAGGCTACTATAAAGTGACAAAAGTCTTAATAGATACAATAGCATATAAAGTCTTAAAAATAGTGCCCAAGACTACGGTTATTGCCAACATCTCTGTTACTGCAAAAAAAAAAAAAAAAGCTGTTCACGTTTTTACCTTGACTGTTTGTGTGTGTTTTGTGTGAGTGTGGTGCGTGTGAGTGTGTGAATATAAAGAACAACTCATTGTTCCAATTTAGACCGACACGCATTTCTCTCTCCGATTAAACACCAAAAGAATGCAAGGTTTGGAAAGTTGGGGCAGTCAGGAACGAGAGAAAGAGACCCGGGTGTTCTGTGCCGACCGCTGTCGGCTTCCCCCTCCCCCTCCCCGCGACGCGCGGCTCACCAAGTTTGCACTCGCCGTCGTGGGCCTTCCGGACGCGCTCGCGGCCGTCGAGGAGCGCGCGCCAGCTGTGCAGGTGCAGAGCGCACACGCTACTGTAGGACCGGCCGTCGGAACCGCAGACGGCGCCGTCCTCCTTGCAGACGCAATGCCCGGTTCCCTCTTCGACGTCGGGTTCGGGCGCTTCTGCCTGGCGTTGGCTCACGCACACCAACCCCGGGCCACAACGAGCGCCCCGCGTCCCGCCACAGCGTTCCCCCTCCGCGCCGAGGCAACGCTCGCAGCAGCCGCACTCGTCTCGGGCGGTCAGTTCCGGCACGGCACATTGCACGAACGCGCAGAGGTCCGGCTTGCACGGAGCGCAAGCCGAACCGCTGGCGCCCCTCGACGCCAGAGCCCAGCAGAGGGCCACCAGCGGTAGCCACGGAACCCGACCTCCGACGGTCATGCTGTGAGATCCCAGAGGAACAAGGAAGGCGGCTGCGAAGACTCGCGTCGAAGCAACCATCTGAGGGGACGGCGGCGGAGAGCGACGAGAAAGCCGCCCCCCACCCAGACGACCACGCCTCCTCCCTTCCAGGCGCCCGGCCGAACCCGCACAGAGAAGCTTCTCTAGCGCCGAATTTCTTGGCGCGGGTTAGACGTAACGGAGCTCTGAGGCGTTTGGGGAGAATGGTTAGACGGGAAACCGGGAGTGTCTATAGGGATTCTCAGTCATCCAGGTCACGGCTGTCCCAAAGGTGCTCTTTTCAAGAGGCTCCCTGGATTTTATTGTCTTTCTTTGAAGACGTTTCACTTCTCATCCAAGAAGCTTCTTCAGCTCTTGTCTGGATGGTGGGGAATGGAAGGATTAATACTCCTTGCAGACAACTGGTCACTTGTGTTCTTTTTAGAAAGTCCTTAAGGAGACTTGAAGGTTTATTTGTGTCATCAGGGTCACCTGAGCGGTGCAAATGGGCTGGAGCCTTCTTGGAACTGTTGAAAAGGACTGTGTTGTAGATTAGAGATAGATGATGTCTATCCCTTCTCATCTGTTGTGAGAGGGCTGTTGAATTTTACGTAGATGGTGTCTTTGACCCCTTTTTCAGGTGGTCCTTTCTGTCCCAGTGGTCCTCTCTGTCAGTGGACAGAGGGGAAGGGATAAGATATCATCTATCTCCAGTCTACAACACAATCCTTTCAACAGTTCCAAGAAGGCTCCACACCCATCCATTCCCCACCATCCAACCAGAGCTGAAGAAGTTTGTTGGATGAGAAGCGAAACATCTTCAAAATTAGACCAGGAAGTCCAGTTGCCTCTTGAAAAAGGATCTTTGGGACATAAGGGGGGGGTGGGGGTGAGAAGCAGTACAGCTTCCTGGAGGCTGTGGTGTGAAAGAAATGAAGGATTTGAGACGTCTGAATCTTCCTCCTTTTTAAACAGGCACATTGAAGTGAAAGTACACCGCTAACTTCAGAAGAAGTGTCATTTGGGGTTTTGAAACAAAACTAAAGACAGGTAGTCCTCGGCTTACGATCACAATTGAGCCCAAAATTTATGTGGCTAAATGAGACATTTGTTAAGTGACTTTGCCCCATTTTACGACTTTTCTTGCCGCAATTGTTAAGTGAATCATTGCAGTTGTTAAGTTAGCAACATGCTTGTTAAGTGAATCTGGCTTCCCAATTGACTTTGCTTATCAACAGGTTGCAAAAGGTGACCACATCACCTCAGGATGCTGGAACCGTCATAAGTATGAGTCCGTTGCCAAGCATCTGAATTTTAATCATGGGGGTGCTGCAACGGTTATAAGCGAAAAACAGTTGTAAGCCAACCTTTTTCAATGCTGTTGTAACTTCAAATGGTCACTAAACAAACATTGGTTGCACTTATGGGTGATCTCTGATGGGAGCAGGATGGAGGTAGTGCATCTGTCCTTGATCCTATGACTTTCGATACCTTTGACAATGGTCTCCTTTTGGATTCACTTAGGGAGTTGGGGATGGCACGGTTTTATGTTGGTTCCCTTCCTTTCTCAATGTTAATAAGGACTGAGGGGTTCAGCTCACAGCCCTTCCTTTGTGGGGTGCCACAGGAGTTGGTGCTCTCTCGGCTCCTTTTAAACATATACATAAAACTGCTGGGCGGGATAATCGGTCAACACAGGATGAAGTATTACCAGTGTGCTGTTGTACCCAGTTACACATCTGTCCCAGGCAAAGTGATGCCATCAACACTCTTTTGCAGTGCCTGGAGGCTGTGGGGGCCTAGATGTGAGACAACAGACTTCAGCTGAACCCTGTAAGACAGAGTAGCTGTGGATGGGTCCCTCTGTACCCAGAGACGTTCTTGGCCTTGGCTGGGATTGCGCTACCCCAGCAGACCTGGTATGTAAACTGGGGGTCCTCTTGGACTCACAGCTCAACAAGCAGGTGGCAGCCATGGCCAGGAGGACCTTTGCACCATTCCATGTTGTGCGCTAGTTATGCTCTTTCTTGGATAGGGAGGCTTTCTGCTTGGTCACTCATGCCCTGGTCATCTCTTGTTTGGACTATTGCGTTCTTCATGGGCCTAGCGGGAAGCTTTAGCTGGTGCAGAAAGTGGCTGTGTGAGCTATATTGGGTACACGGAGCTATATTGGGTACACACTCTGTTACACAAGTTGCATTGGTGTCAGTGTGCCTCCATCTCCAATTCTCAAGGTGTTGCGCTTGTGAACCATAAAGCCCTACATGGCAAGAGGCAGAGGCATCTCCAGAGCCAGCTTCTTCCCATTACACCAGAGGTCCCCAAACTTGGCAACTTTAAGACTTGTGGACTTCAATTTCCAGAATTCTCCAGCCAGCTGGAGTTGCCAAGTTTGAAGATCTCTGCATTACACCATCCCACCCCATCCAGTCAGGCATGGAAGGTATGTGGCAGACACCTTCATTTAAGGATTTCAACTATCAAGGTTTAGAAAAAAGAGCATTCTCTGCTGTTGCCCCTGCCTTGTGGAGTATCCTCCCACGGGAAGTGAGGCAGGACCCCCACTTTGCTGGTCTTCTGAAAAGGAGTTAAAACATGGCTCTGTGGCCTTGCATGGGGAACCCAAAGGACCATCCAATCGTGGGGCTGATTGGCGCCATTAGTTTAATTATTCTTGAGGGACGTGGTGGCTCAGTGGCTAAGACGCTGAGCTTGTCAATACGAAAGGTCGACAATTCTGCGTTTTGAATCCCTAGCGCCACGTAATGCTCCAGTTACTTATCCCAGTTTCTGTCAACCTAGCAGTTTGAAAGCATGTAAAAATGCAAGTAGAAAAATAGGAACCACCTTTGGTGGGAAGGTAACAGTATTCCGTGCATCTTTGGCATTTACTCATGCCGGCCACATGACCACGGAGACATCTTCAAGTCCTACCATAAAGCCAATCACTCTTTCTCAGCTCTAAGAAGGAGGCTATGGTAAACCACTTCCAAAATCTTGCCCCCAAACTACAAGGACTTGTCTGGCAATTGCCAAGAGTAAAAAACTGATTCAAAGGCACAACAAAAAATACAATTTGGGATCAGTGTATCTAATGAAGATAACTGTTTGACTTGCAGAAGAAAGCAGGCATGGAAGCATCCGAATAATTAGCTTCAAGTAATTAGCTTAATTACTAGACATAACCTGGTCTCGGTTTATTCAGGTCAATTTGGAGTCAAGATTTCTGGATTAAAATATGCTTTTTCATTTTAACTATGTGCCCAGTTCTCACATAACAATATGACAGTTTTTGCCTTAGTCTTGAAAGGTGAGACCTTCACCCTTCTATTCTACTCGGCTCATTCATTTCCTCAGTATCTCTGCTTAATCCCTGCTCTGTGCGATGGATGGATTACAAAGAAAGCTTTCCAGAGCTGCATTGTGATGAGCATAATGGCTAGCAAGATTCCCACACTGGTTATCGTTGGGCTGGGTTTAAATTTTTCAGCCTAATGCTTTTAATATGGGAGGCTGTTGCATTCAGCCATTACTTTCTGCCAGATTTTTCTTTAGTTAGGTTGTGGGCAATTGATCAAGGGATTTGAAGAACGTTGAAAGGAAGAAGCCTAAAATCAATCTAAAGCAGCAATACTGACTTTAGGGGCAGAAAGATCCTCTGTTTGCCAGTTTTGAAGTCAATGGTTATATTCATCTAAAGGGACAGGAAATGTAAAGCCATTAGGTTCAGAAACTAAACCAACTAATTGCCCAGTGGCAAGATCAGGAAATAGAGCCAAATCAGATGTGGTTTTTATGAAAAATCTGGTAAGAAAGATAAGTCAGCTATTATTACCAGAAGTGCTCTAGAGAATTAAGGGAGAGCCTTAGTGGGATTACATACATACATACATACATACATACATACATACATACATACATACATACATACATACATAC